CCACCCCAGTGGAACTCACCTAGTTTAAGGGCTCCCGCGAGACCCCGGATTACCGTGACAGGGTTGTTTGGATTTGTACAAAACTGATGTAAGGGCGGAAAGAAAGCATCGCGCTTATTCTCCAGCTGTGAAAAGATGACATTTCAAAGTTCAACAACGCAGCAATTCATGGGAGAAGGGTGGTGAGGTAGAAAACTCATCTAGCGGATACGAGAGAATATTTTACAGATGTATTTGGCTTTCTGGCCTTCTCTGCCCATTTTTTTGGTGCTATTTAATTCAGAATGAATTCTGTGAGATACAGCGTGTGGATTAACACGAACACTGTGCCCGGGCGATGTTTCATCTACAGCGTGGTTACAGGGCCATACAGCCCAAATTGAGGCCGAACCCTTGCAGTGCTCCAGGTGGCTCTCTCTCTTTGTATCGCAACCAGAGGCCTCACAGCCCACCAGAGGGGGCGCCCTGACGTCTCTTACTCACATAAATACTGGGAGTGGGCGGGTTGAGCTTGTCCTTTGGCAGTGCAGGGTAAGGTGGAGGCGGCGGCCGAGGGGGGGGACACTTGTCCAGTAAAATGCTACTATTTGACAAGCCGTTCTTCCCCAGGTTTCTGAAAAAGAGGAAAAACAAAATATCAGAGTGCGAAGGGCGCCTAAAGAGGATATTTCTGGAACAATGGCACTGCTCACTGTGCATTTAGAAACTTCCAAGAAAATTTTACCAAGTTACTTGCCGGCAAACGCAATTCACCCCAGACCACATTAGCTGTAATGAAGGCCCTATATCTCTGCAGTATTGAGCTCTTACCCCACTCTTTGGCAGTTTACGAAGACTGAAGCTACATGCTGCAAGCCACCGTCTCTTAAGGCGGCAGATTGTGAAGATGGTGACTTGCTCTCAATAACAGGCACACGTCTCTCTACTTACAGTACATCCTCTCAACAGCACTCGTCTGCTGCTTTGCACTTTGTTTAAACCAAAGAAAGGGAAAAGTCTTACAACGTCTAGAATATCAACACCATAAGTCAGAGTTGTTCCCCTGCTGATAGGCACTTTCAATAAAGGAGGCCAACTAAGATCACCACAAGGGTTCCTGTGCGACCTGACACTGCTGTGTGTCAATTTAAGGGGGACTGCAATGCTGTTTTTGTATTTCAGGGTGAGAAAGAACTAGCATTGATGAGTGCATTTCAAACCACAAGAAAAGGAAGATGTACACAGTAACTTGTAAAACCTCCCATTTACATCACAAAACAGGAAATTTCCGGGTGTGCACAGTGCAATTTCTGCAATTCAGAAAGAGGCAACCAAATGTCCGGTGATGTGATGCACCCCTTTAACATTGTAAACAAGCAGGCTTGGGAAGACATCTCTTTCAGTCCAAAAGACATAGTGCTCTCGACTTCAAGGTGGTTTTGAAGTGGCTTCGACAAATACAACTTAACTCTGCATGTCAGTACTGGAAACTTTCTGTAGTGAAATATCTGCTGTATAATCTGTACATCACATTACATTACTCATTACAGTGACTAGCGAGCAGGAAGGGCCACATCACATCGCATTTCAGTGGAACTCACTCTTACCCATGACGAGACCAGGGGCTTGCGACAACATGGAGCCTTACAGTACTTTCACGATTTTGTGCTTCATTTGACATTTATAGAAGTTTTCTATACCATCAATAAATTTGTTGCTGTGACTTACTAACCGGCCTGAGAAATTGGGACTACGGTTTCCCTTTAACAGAGAAAGAATTGAGTAAATATCAAGGTTCAAATCTAAAATAAAACCTTGGTATCACATAGGTAATTCCAGTGTTTGTCAAGTCAAAGTACAAGACTACTTAAGCTCCGCAAATAAGACACTTAAAAAGCCTAAACCTAGAAAAATTACTGATAGATGTAGTGCCTATCTTAAAGGGAATAAGCAACACCCAAACAGGAGAGAAACATAGCACCCTTGAGCATGTTTTATATGTAGGACCAAAGAGTCAAACCTACATGGCATGTTTTCACAATGGTAAAAATGGTAATGGTATTTATTTCTATGGTCACCATACCAGAGCATGTGGCTTAATGTCCTACTGTTCTACAAAGCAGCTGTGCTAACAGGTACAGGAAAACCCAATATCAGCTTTACAATTAAACATTAAGTTGTTAATGTAGCTGGTGTGAGAGCAGCATACTGCCATCGCATCATCCAGGTGGGGCTGCACATTCGTGATGGTGGAGGGGAGTCCCCATTACCTGTAAAGCACTTTGAGTGAAGTCTCCATAAACCACTTTATCAGTGTATGGAAATATTTGTCTTATTTTTAACCTGTTGTAACACCAAGCTTGTGCATCAAGCTAAAACACCTTAGTGATAATTCACTAAGTTGCTCTTAATCATACAATGAAGCAAAGCCTATCTGTTCACATCACTTGTGGTTCATATGTTGGCAGTAGGTCTTCTACAGGTATGTGCAGGTCTTCTGCCACACACCGAAAGGAGGATCTGCAGCTGTTCCTCTATTTCTACTGTTTTTTACTATTTCCCTTGTAGCTTGCATGCTGATGCAACTCCCCATTCAAACTGAGATACCTCTTTGTATTATGCATTACTCCAGGTAAATAAGGGAAACTGACCGAGATCATTCTTTAGACTGGGCATCTTAAAAACAAACAGTCAGCTATCAAATAAATGGCCTAAAAAAGTAATACTTTGAACCAAAACCAAAATATTAACCTTTAGGTCATCTGTGCACAGCCCACTTTCCAAAAGGATTAAGGTTTGTGACTCTCATGGACAGCGAATCTCTCTTATTACGTTCTTACCAGGTTCAGTGCACATGGCGAAGATCTGGGTGATCACTCTCAGCATGTACATGTTCACATGCCAAGGTATTAATTTTAGCTGCTGGAGTTCATACACAGAAATCACACAAGGTTGACTTTTCTTATCTGTTTACATTTGTGCACCAATTATGAAAAGATGAATGAGAGCTGTGTGCAGTTAAAGAACACATGGACAGCGAGGGACTTCTTTGCCTCCATTTCAGGACTAATGAAGTAAACATAAAAAGGATTATTAAATCTAGACCATGTAGCACCTGGCATTTTCAGGAGTTTTCTTTTTACAGTACCACATTGCTAAGGATTTGTCTTAAGAATATTTCATTGCCTAGAATCCTTTGTGAATCCTTAAAGATTAATTGACCTGATGTTCATTTCCATTTATCTATTTCAAGTCCTTTGGAGTAGATCTGTGTTCAAACTAAAACCATAGGCTAGCTGATTACCCCTCTTTGGAGCCACATACTTTGGAACGATCATGTTTTCTTTGCAATACATAAATATTAACATTTTAGGCTTTTAAAATTCAGATTGCTTAATTTTTATACCATATAAGAAGATGTGCATATCTGGGCAATACCAAGCATAAGCACAAAGTTCTAAGATACTTTAGAACTATTACAGAAACCTAAATAGAAAAAAGAAAAGGCAGAAATGAAGTAAGATCAGACAGAGATGCACATGAGCTGGCAGGTGAATGCAAAGTCATGCACTGTCAAAGCACTTTAAGGCCTGGAGCTTTGAAATGCATTTGTACATCATAAAATCAGTCACATTTCAGGCCTGAGTTTTCTGCAATTTGAAAAGCAGAACCATTAATATAACATATAATGGATGATAACTAAATATATTGAAATATTATTATTGCTGCTGCCAAATTTCCTCATCCCAAACCATCAGCAAGCTCTGAGCAAACAGCTTACATTTTTGTTGTGTCAAATTACAAGCTGTTTCAGAATGGGCTCCTAAAACACCATCACTTACTTCAGATACTGTTCTTTCAGAGAAAAGCAAAGTTTAAATTATAACCACTACTCATTTAGAAAAGCAAGGTTCTCTCCCTTAACACCAGCACATTGGTAGATTCAAACAAACAAAAATGAAAGAAAACCTCTATATATTCTATATACTAGTGAAGACCATTCCAGAATTCTGCAGAACACTTAAGAATTAGTGTATCAGGCTGAAAGGAAACGGTTGCTTAAATGATGCAAAAACAAAACAGTGCACAGCTTGTATGCGAGTGCAAATTCCTTTTCAATAGATTTTTTAATACTATGCATCCCTGAATTAAGAAGACTTTACTTCAGCTGTTCAGCTAAAAGGTTTATGCTTCTTGTCTTACAAAAGAGGTGGAGCTCACCAACAAGAGAGCCATGTAAACAAAATCCAAATACACAGAGGTCCTTCTGGCAACAGCCAATGACTTTGAAGAGCAACCCCACACCAGGACCACCCACGCAAGCTGTCTTCTCTAGACAGAACCTGTTTCTCTGACCCAAGGGCATACACAAATCAGAAAACAAATGCTCTGTGCACAATGCTGATGGCCAGCCACCTACCTGCAGGCTTTGAGTACTTCTGCAGAGCTGGGGTAGATGGAGACCGAGGATGATGGTGCAAGCGGAAGGGTTGGTTTGTGGCTGATTGAGGGTGGGTCTACTTTCATGGGGCTTTGGGAGTCCTCAAGACCTTTTCCATTCACTGTATGTCCCAATCCACCGAGAGGGCTGTTAAGGCTGGTAACACTGTTTGTGGTAGTTTGTTCTGTTGATTTGGGAGAGGGGGTGGCTGTGGAAATGGCTGAAGAAGGTGAAGAGGCAACAGAGTTCTCTTGAGTCTTTGAGCTGTGCACGGCCGGGTGAACGTTATTAACTTTTTCACAGGCCCCAGGATCCCCGATATTATTGGCTTTTCCAATCAACAAGGCAGAGAGCTGAGGATTGTCTGAACTAAGTACACCTGGTGACTTGGATTCTCCATGGCTAGGGCTTGAAACAGCGTCTGCCATCACCTGATGGACGTGATTAGGGAGTCCTTCAACAGTGGCAGTGCTGTTCGGCGTCCCTCCGGAATGCCTGTTGATGTCAGGCCCCAATGTTGTGTTGTTTCCTGAAGGCTTGCTCTCTTTGGTTAAGGTAATGCCTTGTTGTCCACCTGAGGTAGCAGTGTGAGGAGGAGAGGAGAGGTGATTGAGAGCAGCCCCCTGTGTTAGTGAATTGCTAGGCATGGTGGAATGTCCAACCTGATTTTGAATACCAGTGCCAACTGCCTGGAAATGCTGGGAAGGCCCAGTGGAAGAGAAAGGTCGTTCACCATTAGGACCTGCCAAATGAGAACTTTGACCTTTGTGAAGCCCCTGAAATGCACAAAAAAGGCAGCGTATTAATACAAAAAACTACCAAATGGTTTTAGATATTTGACTCTCTAAAACACTTTTTGTATTACCATTTTGGAATTAAAAGTGAACCCACATCGCTGTGCCATGAAGCCTTCCATTCCACTCCTGAGATACATAAATAAACTGCTACAATCTCTTATCTGTGATGTTTTATGTTTTATGTATTTGATTAATATGAACCAAAAACATTCTGATTACTTGTCTTGTGCAGCTTTTCCTCTCAGATCTTTCCCTCTCTGGACAATTTTAAGCTAAAAACATGAATTGGCAGAAGATATTCAGCATAACAGGTGATATCACCCTTCCCTTCAATGCCTGGTGTTGAAATCATTGTTAGCTTTGAAATAAACTACTCATAAACCGTAAGCATGTATTCTCATATATCAGACTGTTTAAATGGGGAAATAAAAAAACAAACCATACACCTAAACAGATTGGCTTTCAAATCTAGGTCAAATCCTACATACGTTACTAACTACTCAACACTCATGTTCATCTTCCAGCTGCTTTTTCATCAGCAGTCTGATGAGATGTCTCTTAAAACCAAGAATGACAATTTGGTATGGGAGGCTACATCCCAGCAAAGGAAAATCTGTATCCAGCTATCTGCGGGGCTTATTAAACAAGCATTACACATTTGACAACATTTCTAAACCATGATCTGGCATTAGCCTCTGTGCAATCTGTGGATTTAATGTTAAATTAGGAAGACTCACCCTGAAAGAACTGCATAAAGCATTTTATTATTTTAAGCTGATAATCTTACTCATGTAAAACCTACAACGATCTTACAATGGTAAACATACAAGAAGCAAATTTTTCATTGTCTCGGGTATTACATATGGAAAACTGAAGTGATAAGTCTTTTGTTATGCTGACATGTTTTCAAATGCAACACCACATTTGAATTGTGTGTATAAAAAACATTTTAATACGTAGCTACAAGGCCATAACCATATGTAATTAAAATCTTGTTCATCCATTTCAAAGCTTTTATTTTAACCGTTTTCATTTGTGGTGTTAAAATCCATGAATTGTAGACGAGGACAAAATAGGCTTGTGCACTAGGCTTAAGTTATGCAAAGCATGGTTTGGTAGATACTTCACTAATCAATTTGGTATATTTCACACAGGGAAACATTTGTGCACATCTCTGTAGAAGATTTTGTCAGTAATTCTCATTCAACAATGGCAAAAGAGATGCAAATCTGTACTTATCAAGCGAGAACCACAGAGATCTCTACAGTATCATCACTATGGACAACAGCGTGACCTTTGCTATGCAGGAGTAATGGACTGATTTACTGAAAGACTCATGAATAGATTATCTGAGAAACCCTCACTAACAATTTAACAATGTTACTTAATCTAAAGTGTTAACCCCCCCCTCCTAAAAGTCAGAACGTGACAAAACAGTGAGGTATCCGGTACCTGAGTGGCGTTTACGTGTTGGTTTTTCCACGGCTCCGCTGCGTTGCTGCTGCTGCTGGTCGGGTTTGTGCAGTTATGAGGTAGACTTAGTGCGTGTTGCTGCAGGTAAGGCACGTTCCCGTTACTTCCCACTCCAGTTAAGTGATTATTGCCTACAGAAATAGTGTCTGTATTACCCAGCATTCCAGCTGTGCTGCAGGGAACTGAGCCTGCTGGGAAAGGTCCGTTGGCCATGGGCTGCCCAGAGGAAATGGGCCGGACTGCAGGCTGCAGTACGTTTGGCGCTCTGGACAGAGCCACATGAGGCTGCGCACCAGAGGCCTGGTTTGTAGGCAGTGACGAGTCGACTGTTGGCCCGTTAGGAACAGCAGTTGGTCGTACCTGTCCGGCTGCATTTTGTCTCATCTGGTCGGAAGAGTGGAAAAAAAAACATCAATATGGTCTCCGGAAGAAGCACACAAGTCTGGGAATGTTTCTTTTGCATTATGTTTTCACACCCTGTTCAACCTGCGCACTCCAGCCAAGCCCACGCCACGCTTTTTCTACAGAGGCTTGACAGGCCTAGGGTCCAGGTATCGCTCCACGCCTTTGCCATAGCTGAGGAGTGCGACAGGACGGTTCAGAACCCCAGCATAGCACATTTTACAGAAACAAACACTCAGCAGTAACAAAATGAATTGGTACTCGTTTTTTTAGATAGTTTTCAAAGTCCTGCATTGCTTTTCAGATTAAACGCATTATTTAGCAGTTTGGAAATGATCGGCTCATACAAATTTGCATTTTAGATAGAAGACCTCAGTTCTCTTCATTACTGGCATATTCTCCCTACATGAAATGCAACAAAAGTCTGCAATACTTCAGGAGGGCATGGATGAGAGTGCCTTACTTAATTTACAAGATTACAATGAGGAGAACAAGATGGCAAATCCCTTGCATTTACAGAGTACTTCCTTTAAGAGGATCTTAAAACACCTTACACAGAGGGGAGCCATTTAAGCCACCATACCATCACCTTTATCTTGTCAAGACCTGTAACCTCTAAAGAAAAGGCCCATTCAACATAAGCGTACCTGCTGCTGGTGCTGCTGCATCAAAGCAAACTGCCCCTCCAGCTGTTCCAACAACTGCAGCTGTGGTGGCTTCAGGTTTTGCCTTTTTGCTCGTAACTGATCCAAAACCTTTATTCAAAACAGAAAAGACCAGAGTTTGTGTCGAAAGAAACTTGATAAAATGTATATAACTTTTCTATGAAGAAGTGACATATTACACATTTACCTGTAGCTTCTGTGGTGTTAAATACCAGTTAGGAACTTGCTGTTGCACTGGATTGTTTGAAACAGGATGGCCGCTGGGCCAGGAATCTGGAGTATTCTGTTTTGATAAGCGGGAGAACATAAATTAAACCTTTAAAAGGTGCTAGTGGTGCAGTTACCTAAACAGCAAAGGTACTACTTGTCGCCTGAGGTAACTTCAGATCACAATTCTTATGCATCTCCTAAAGCCACTTTCGCAACCTATAAACCTTTAAATTAAAGCATCATGAGATTGTTTGTTTTTGTTTTTAATTACTGAAATAATGTAGTGGGCAACAGTTTCCTGCAGTGGACCGATTAGCCCTTTGCCAAATTAAAAGGCCGCACTGCCCCTCCCCAGTTTTCACAATTGGACGTTGTGCTCTACTATCACAGCACTCAAGTCTTCATTTTCAACAAGCATTGTCAAGAAATAAGAGGTAAACCACTCAAACTCTACCAGTTTCTTCTTATTCTTATAAGAGTCAGGTTACAGATGTGACAGGTTTGCAAATCGGCTTCACAGAAACAGCTTGCTGTCCAGTCTTGAGCAGAGGGCCCCTGACTGAAAGCACTTGTATACCTTGGCTGGGCTTGCTGTTCGTTTTCTCTTGGCAGGACTGGACTGGTCATCTACTTGGCTTGAAGGAGCCATGTGCTGAGGCAATGACTGCTGTGGCATTTGTGACTGTCCAAGGCCTACTTCAGTATTCTGATGAGGTTTACAGGCCTACAACACAGAGGGGAAAGTGACAGACACCATGGTTTTTCTGCTCTTCCAAATTACTCGCACAGCCTACATTTGGTCACGGCAAGAGGTTGCTATCCCACACAGGACAGAAAACCTGCACTGTGAAAATTCTCTGTGCTTAATTGCCATGTGAAAACTAACTAGATAAACATTAACTTGAATCTCAATCCATGTGGACCCAACTTAACACAACAAGAATGACTTAATGTAACCAGAAAAGCACAAGGTCCTACAGTTAGCTCTTCTGAAAAAAACGATTACGTCGGTTAACACATTCACGCATTACAAGCTCAACTTACTCCAGAAACTACAAGCTTGAATTTTATGGAGAATAATCTACAACATATGGGACTCTTGACCCTGTATATTATATAGATATGTACATGTAAAATCCTCCAATTCCTTTGAACTGCAATAGAGCCTGTGATGTTATACAGCTGGATGCAGTTTACCTCTGACATTATTTGACAGACCTGTCTTACGTGATATTACTGGCATTCATTTTTAAAAAAAAAAAAGATCTAAAGAAACATTTTCAGCGTTGTGACTCCTGCTCCTGAACACCAAATCCCTTCAGCTTGGGGAAACCAAAATCGCAATGCTTTCTACAACTGCACACACCTAAACTGCCCCAAGGAGGGCAAAGTTTACTGGAATGGGCGAGATACACGCCACAGGGAGAAGAAAGATGTAGCAGTTGTGTTGGAACCTAAGTAAGGAGAACAATGCAAAGACAGGTAAACCCATAACGCAAGCAAAAGGAATGTTCAGCTATGTCAGTACTAATACTAACACAATCGATCACCATGATACTGATTGAGTCCTCTACAAGTGTTGGAGAAAAACCCGTAAGCACTCATGCACAGCAATGTGAAGGATTCTTTTTTGTTATGCTTGTATAACTCAATGTACACAACCAACAGATACTGTTCATGCACATTCAGCTCCACTGGTAAACTTTAAAGAATAATTTGTTTGCACTCAGTCATCCATGAGGTTTCACTTAAATGGCAAGCAGTTTACCTGCATGTTGGGGAAAATGAATGAGTGGCATTATTTTTACCATTTACATAACTGATGAATGCCATGATTATAGATACAAAGAAAAAATAAAAAGTCACCCCCCCCCCCAAAAAAAAAGTTGTTACTCAAACATGTCATTGACAGAACTGTCCCTCAGAGTATTACAATGAACTGCACAGATAAATGAGAACACATAACACTGAAACTTCCCTACATGACACAGATGGGGAAAGCTAGTTCTGCCTGCCACATCAGGAGACTTTACTACTTCTAGGACAGGACATAACCTTAAGAGAGTACTTCTGAAACCTTGAAACACAACCATGTTTCTCATTATGAGTCAATGTTTGGATTAATCTGCTTAATTTGCATGGACAGCCCTTTTCGGCTTTGCAGGCATGCCATTCAGATTTCTGAAGTCATTTTGAAACTGATGATTAATACCGTCAGTAGTAGTAATAATCATAAGAAAAGTAACAAAATACAAGGCCACGTTCACTAACCCTTACATTCAGTGTGCAGTTTTTTTCTCTCTCTAATTGTAAAAGGAGAAAACAAAATGCAAACATCGCAAACTTTGGGCCGACAAGCAGTTTCAATGACAAAAGAAGCTATGGCCTGTTTCATCCCCACTTTGCACCGAGACTGCCTTTTTTTTTTTTGCTTTTTGGCCAGAAAACGGTATCAATGCACCATTCTGCTTCAAATAATGTCCCCTCTTCCCTGATGTAATTTTTTGAAGACCAAAAATACACCAACTCGCAATTGTGGGGCACTGTGGTCCTGTAGTGCACAGAAATGAAAACTTTTAGAGACGGTAGGGAAAACTGTTAGGTACGTTGTGTCTGTAGTGCAAACGTGAGGAGAAACGGACACTGCGAAATCTGGCACCCTTGTGCACGGTTTCCACTTGTGTTTATCCCCTGCACAGAGAGAGTCCTCTCACTGGTGTAAGTGCTTAGTGAGACTGGCCCAAGACTAGGATTCTACAGGACGATCTAACTCTTCTCACCTGCTGTGCTGTGTTCAGGGCACCCTGTCTGGAGGTAAGTTCTGCAGGGATTGGTAGGCTCCATGCTTCCTCAATACTAGGAAGCATTTTAGTTTTACTCTGTAGACTACTTTGTTGAAGGTTACACAACTGAGCCTAGGAAAAATTACGTAAAAAAACATTTAATACTGATCTACTTAAAACGAACTCTGGTCTTCTACTGAATCTGCCACTATAACTTCAGCAAAGAGTTAACAAAAGTTATTTTATTTAATTTAAAATTATATTTCAAGGGTTATCATAAGCCTCTTGGGGAGAGGTATGGTTTGACTATACACGTACAAATATATATATATACACAATTAAATGAATGAATCCATTAAAAAAAAAATCAGTGAAGGTAGCTGGTGTCGTCAAAATGTCATGAAATTATGCTTCAAAGTTACTGGTGAAAATGTTCTCTCACTCATACACAATAACATGACAACTGTCCATATTCAACCCACCCCCCCAATGATTAAACTAAAAAACAGCAAACAGTTAAATCAAAAGAGACAAATTCTATGGGAAAGCTGCTCAGTGGGGCCATGGTGAACACACACACAGCAACACTGACTGTAGCTCATAGCAACTTCTGCAAGAGAACCCTGCTCCCCCACCCCACCTAGGACTAAACACACAGCACTGGCAACAGGCAGAACAGAACAGCTCAAGGCATAACAGCTTCACATCTATATCTACAGTAAGTCAAGCCCCACCTCTGACCACTAACGAGCAGATTCCAGCAGGACAAAACAATTACTACCTGTAAGTATTTAATCCGTGCTGTGAGGGCAGAAGCATTACTACACAATTTGCTCCTTGTTGCATTAATGTAACATTTAATGGCATCCTGGGGCTGGTTACAGGATTCATACAAGGTGCCTAGATCCATCCAGGCTGCAGCGTGGCCATGATCCAGCTGGACTGCACAGATATAGGCTTGCAGTGCGTCCATGGGCTGATTCTGCTGCTGATACAACACGCTGAGGAGGCAGGGAGAGACGGAGAGAAAAAAAACTGTGAGATCCCAATCGGCGGTGGAAAGTGCCACACACTCCAGCTCTTTTTGGGGGGGTACCATCAAGGTGCCGCAGATGGCTGCTGTCGAAGCTGAACACTAAAAGGTTCTACCCTGGACGCCGAACACTACGCATCCTTGTCACCACAAGAGCACTAACGGGACATACCTTTATTTTGACATCCCAAATGGGACTGGTGTTCAGTTTGCTTTCTCATGACGCACAATTTAACATATGGATTCCAGTAATGGACCCCAACTTTTATTCCAAGACTCAATGTGCCACTACACCTTATTTCAACTCCACCTACTGTATCTGACAACAGTGATCTTGGCTTCAGGGGCAAATGAGTTTCAGTTATTAAAAAACAGTCTACAGTGCCCGCCTTCACACAGTGCTGGAGCAGTACATTTGCATGATATGATATGCAAATTATATTTATACAAAGATCTGTTCATTTGCAAAGGTAATATTTCCATTTCTAGCTTTGTGAAATAGAAAAAATATTCCAGCAAACAGATTATGCTACAGTATGTTGTCTTTACCACCTTAACCTTATTTTATCTGTAAATATATTAAGTGGGCACCACACTGAAAATAGCCATCCTTGGGTGAGGTGAAAGTGTGTGCCTGCAGTCCCCGCGCAGTTTCGCAGGAGTAACTGAATATAAAATCTGCACTGCGCAAAAGCCTGAAAGAGTATACCAACAATGCATGTTATTTTTAAAGCCTTTCTAAAACTACTGCATTTTCTCCTCCTATCTTGGTTAATACATAGTTAACCCTATACAAAGAACAGATTTCCGGAAAGATTAATTCAACAAACGGCAGGACTTAATTCTGCCTGTAGACTCTCTAGACTCAAGGAATAAAGTGTAACTTGCACTGTCCGATTCATCATGAAAATTCGAAAAAATGACTTCTGCATGTCTTAAATTCAAATGTGTTGCCTGTATCGCCTACAAGCATTCCCTGCATCTTCTCCTGTGCTTGCTGCAACAGTAGGCAGAGCTAGACAGTACATTTCCTTCCAGCTCCCTAAGCACATTACAAACCCCAAGAAGCTAAGGCTAAAAATACACTCGGAACAAGCATGTTGACTGCAGCCGACATCCTCACTTCTTTCAAGACACAACCGCATGAGATCCTCAGATCACTTTGATTTAAGCAATCGAGCGAGCTAGATGGACCAAACAGCCTCCTCTTTTTCATGCACTAATTTGTTCACATTATAAGGTTGAAACAGTATTAAGATTAAGCATGTTGACTACATTTGCAAAGGAGAAAAAAGAACAGGCCCTTACCCTATTGAACACCATGTATCTGCACTTGCTTCCGATTTATCGATAGACTGCCTATAAGAAATAAATGCATCCTGAACCTTCCCAATACTTGAGTAGCACCTGTAAGAAAGAGAAAACACAGAAGGTCACAAGTCAGAGTAAACAATGGTGCAAGGGCACACTGGTTAATTTCTTCTCTGTTCATGCTGAAAGTAACCTCCTAAGGTATAAGTGCAGTAAACACAATATAGCATTTAAAGGGGAACTGCACTACCATTTATATATTTGGGGTTAGAAAGAATCAGCATTGATGAGTGTTCTCAATCCACAATGAAAGCAACATGTACAACAGTAACTTGTAAAACCTCCAATTTACATTGAAAAATCTGAGACATTTCCAGGTATGTGCAGCGCCATATTCCGTGATTCAGAGTGAGGCAACAAAACTTCTTATGATGAAGTGGGCCTTATTACATTGTAAACATGCAGGCTTGTGAAGATATTTCTTTTTATCCAATAGAAAAATTGCTCTGAACTTAATAGACTTAATAAACAAATACTACTTGTTAACTGCATGCAAATCTTATCGGAAAATTCCTGCTGTGAAATGTCTGCTGAACAGCCTGTACTTATTCATTTATACATCACATTACATTAGGCATTACAGTGACTAGTGAGCAGGGAGGGAACTCTCACTCTCACCAATGGCAGGTCCAGGAGTTTTCAAAAACATGGTGACTTACAGGGTTTCACAAAGTTCTTGATTTTGTGCTTAATCCAAAATTTGTAAAATGTTGCAATAATTTACTTTATCGAGATTTAATAACTGCTTATTAAATAAAATAAATAAATTGGGACTGCAGTTCCCCTTTAAAAAATTAACTTCTGCCTTTTAACGTATTTTACTCTAAGAAAACAGCTATTAAAACAGCCAAACTATATTACAAAGTGCAAGATTGATACAGTAAAAAACAGTGCTTTTCAATCGAGGACATCAATAGCGCTGGAAAGTGCTATAATGCTCAAGTCAATGCCAATACATTCCATGAAACGGCAGAGATCTCACTGCTTGAAATGTCACATCTTAAAATTCCTCCTGGAACAACAGTGTAACTCCTGTATCCCTTTAAATCATTGTTACTCAGCACGAGAGGTGAAAGGGAATATTTCTGTAGAAAATAAGGTCAGTTTTCTACTAGGAAACAAGGGTAGAAGGCAGAGACCAAGTCTGCAAGAAAGCAAACAAAATGAAGGAATATTGCCACAGAAAGCCTGGCTAGTTTCTGATTTCCTGTTCAATATGAAGTCTGGAACATGTTTTATATTCCTGCTCTACACTCTAGGATTGTAGAAAGTGTAGAAAGTAACAGAGCTACAGGTTTGCTTGTTGGTTATGGCAGTTCTGGGTAAAATCCTATTTGCATACAGTAAGCACACTCAAATAGATTGTTCTTTTTAAAAAACAAAATCACCCTTTAAAAATTGTCTTAATTGAGTTAGACCCGGAGTGCTGATTCACAAACCTCCTGCCTCGGGTTCGGTTTCAAAAGTCAAAACAAACCCTTAGGCAGTTAGACTTGAGACTTACACACCCACCCCTGCTCCACTTCTTAAATCAGCATAGACCTGCCATCAGTAACTGTGGCAGTTCAGAATAAAAATACAACAAAAATTAAAACCCTCTGAGTGGGCACGGTCAAAGATATACTGTCCTAAAAAGACCCATTTTATATCTGAATATTAGGACTCCAAAATGTAATTTAAACATGCAGGCCTCTTTTGATAAGGATTAAGTCTTTGAATTCATTTATACTCAGTAGTGTTTATAACTCGGGGCAGATAGGACAGTGTGACCTAGCATTGTAGCTAAACTGTCATAAAAGCAGCTGCTGCTGTTACTATTGTGATAGAACCTAGCAGCTCAACCACTTACATAGTACACCCACATCACAGCTATGTAAGCTCATACAAGTACCTACATACAATTGTGTAAGTAACCAAAGAACAGGTGAAAGAAACTAAATATCTTCAGGATTCAGAGTAATACTAGGACAACAAATGGATGTGTGTTAAAAAAATATTTTGGCTGTTTTTGCACATATTAGATAGATATTAAACAGTACATCAGGTAGGTATAAAAAAATACCAAAGCCGGTGGAAAGAGACTTGTACATTTTCTCTATACAGGGGTACAATTAGTTTTCACTCAGCTTCATTCAAAATGCACATGCATGATTTTAATATTTTCGATAGCACATTTATCAAGATCTTGTTAAACCACACACAGAATACACGTAGAGATTAACACAACCAGCCCTTCAATTAAAAGAGTGCTTGGTGCAAACTGACTTTTAAAAGATACAGATCACAGAGCACGAACCCCGATGCATCATTACATACCTGCCAAGGAAGTACCACGACTGTCCAGAGTTAGGATCTGCTTCTAAGGACTTCTGCAGACACTGAATAGCGTAGCTCTCCTTGTTGGCTTTATCGCCCAGCTGATCCACCGTGTGATACATCCAACCTAAAGTGCCGGAAACGTAGCACAGGAGGGAAGAGGTCAATAAAAAACTGGCGCGGAAAAAGCCATCAGTCCACAAATTAAAACACTGAAAAGCAGAAGCCTCAGAAACCCCACAAGCAGGAAAAGGCAGATGGGTGGATAATCACAAGCTGGCTTGTGACGGGGCCATGAGGTCTTGCAGATGGAGCAAATGGTTCTCTCCTGCTCGCGGACCTTCAGCACAAACTAAACACAGGGAGGAGGGGGTGAGGGCTCACACCAGTCTTCAAAAGGTCTCGCCCGCAATCCCTGGCTAAACAAGACGCCGCCTCTGGTTCAGACGACAGAAAGAGATAAAAAACACTTCCTCTCGGCCTGCAGCCAACGCCGAGATCCTCGCTCAACTTCCTAACACCTGTGGCTAACAGGTCTCCATGGAAACTGGCCGAGCCGGGGCAATTCCACAGAACATGCAAATGGGTTTATGACAGGGCAGCTGTCTAATGTGAGCTGCTTGGAGAGAAGAGCTGAGAAGGCTAGGCAGGGTTTGTGGGGCGTGTGTGTCTGGAGAGGTGGAGGCGGGGGGGGGAGGGGGTACCTTTCTACTCTAATACGATAATAATGAGCTGTTGCATCATGCAGATCTGGAAGGGCTCCGAGGGAAAAGCCATTAAGGAACACTGCCAAGAGTACAGAGTGGAAACAACTTGAAGATTTACTTATAACAATAAAAAGTACTTTGTGTGGCTATTTTAAAATGTGAAGCATTTCTATACATCCATCGGCATCAGGATTGCCTATAAATTCTATTAACTATTTCCTACTGAGATTAGTCAGTACTACAACCCACTGTTGAACACAGATCTAGATGAGCTTTCTGCTTAAAATGCTTTTATTTTCAACTTAAGTTTCCAACAGGGCATCTCACAGATGCACCCACGTGTGCGAATTTGGATCTGTGACATGTGGATTTCAAAGGCTGAGGCACACAGTCGCATCCCCGCCAGACAAAGTCTGCGAACTTCAACCTCCCAGGCACCCGCATTACAAAACGCTTGACTTGACGTAAAATCTTGGGGGGTGAATTTTTTCAGACACATAGATGTAAGTGTATATTTTAATTTCTACAGCATGTATTGAAACCATAATTTTGTAATTTTACATGCTACCCAGTGTAGCATGGATAAGATAGGATGGCAGGATAGGAACCTACTGCCATCAAAGCATTTAACAGCAAATATGCTGATGATCAGGAGTGAATTCTAACTTAAACGGTTTCTGGATCCAATATACAATGCAAGATACAATATCTTACAAGTCCAGAACTTTTTTTACCATCACATTTAATAGTTCTCCTTGCTGTACATCTTAGCACTTGCAAGAGGAATTTTGCAATTTAAAGATAAACACACTATCCTTTCTCAATTCAGCTCTATTTTAAAGGCTAATATTTAAACAAACTACAGTTTATAATGATTAGCTTAACAGCTCAATGAAAAGTATAAAAAGGAGTTCCTGGATTTAATGTACTATAAGTACCACCCATGTGAGGGTAAACAAGAAATCGCACTGCTTCTGAATTAACATCTCTAGATAAAGAAAAGTACATATCGAGTATGAAAGACTTTCATTCCTTGACTTTCTTAGGAGAGTTTTTGCCGTCTGGACATGAGTCCTCATTTAACACCCCACCATATTCTGTGCACGATGCAGACATTTCACATATCAGCTTTGCCAAAGTTTCATGGACAGCACAGAAAACAAAAGTGCATTCCTAAAGAAATCCCATTTTCCTTTCAAGTCAATTGCTTTTAAATCATCATACAAAAACAAGGGACACCTGTATTTGCTGTTTCAATAACACAGCCCAGAATTCATTTGTGTTTAATAATAAATGAAGTTTGGAGATAGTCATTTCCATAGCAGAGTACTGACATCTAATTTGAGCTGTACTGAAACAAATTTTTACTCTTTTCGTGTAAATGTTTTAGGTTTCGACTTCCTGCCACCTTTCAGTTGAACTGACTGAAGTCACACGTGTCTGTTAGTTGAGATGTGGCTAAAATGAAAATGGAGTCACCTCACATGTTGATGTTGTATCTCTTAACAGAATTGCTGGGTTTCTGCCCTATCACCCAGTTATTTAAAGAGGTGATTTTCTTGGGGGAAAATATCAATGGTAAAAAAAAAGATTCACAGGGCTTCTGAAAAATAAAATGGTGGATATCGCAACTGGACAAATATTTGCTTATGAAAGGTACAGGAGCTGCTAATACTCACCAGGAAACATTCAAAAGCATTATATACACCTTTAAACACAATAACAAAAATATTAGGAAGCAGTTAACTGCTCACTCTCCAACACACACATGTACTTCTCAGACAACTGCCACTGCTGGTTTGAGGAATACAGGAGGAGAGGAAAAAAAATACTTACCTAATTGTTGCAGAGTAGTTGCCTTCACCTGTGCAGGAAGATTTTCTGTCTGCAAAAGGCTTTCATAAGCTTCTTTTGCAGCACGGTATTTTTTCTGCAAACAGAGAAGAAAAAGGGAGAAACTATTTGCCAGACAGACAGCAATTGTGCTTTTTATAGCTCCCTCTTCAAGTGGACATAAAGAAGCCCAGGAGACACTCAGACAGATGACTGTGTCTGGGGTTTCAAGCTACTCCAGAGGAGGAAATGGCAACATAAACAGCAAGAGGAGCCTCCAAGGTTTAAGAAAGAGACAGACCCAAAAGGGTGGGAAGGGGATACAAATTTGGGAGTCCTGGGGAGACAGACAACAAGCTGTTTGGCTTTCTGCTACTTATCCAGAATTACACAGAAAAGACATTAAAAAATGACCTGAACCGTACTGAATCGACTCCCGAATTACAGTACTTATCAGTTCCCTGTAAACCATTCACAAAGTACCCAGGCCTTTATGTCTGCGAGCATACATGCAATAAAAACAAATCACCTAGAAGGATCTCTGCATCTGCTCTCTCTTTTTACAGGCAAAAGTAAATGCAGCTCAAAGTAAACAGTCCCTGGCTTGTCCCAAACAAGATATCAAGTTGAATGGAAAGACTTAATAAACAAATACTACTACAGCAACAGATAGAGGCAGGAGCCTTTTGACCTTGAAAAAAAAAAATAATCCTGCAAATCATTTGTCCTACCCTGCAATACATGGGTCTACCCCACCTCCCCCCTTCCAAATTAAAATACTTCTGGAAACAAACTATAATCAATAGGAAATAAATGAACGTGTCTGTGATCACATACCCTTCCACAACAGACTGACCTGACTGTGCTAACCGTGTTAAATCTAACACCTTGTCAAGCTGTGAGTGCAGTAGAAGTCTACATCTAATATGTTCAAATGTATAAAAAAAAATAAGCTACTGCATCTCATCAGCAAAACAGAAAATCAAGTGAGATCTCTAGAGAGAAAAACTACATTCTGCACATATGAATATTACAATGCTTCCCTCATACTGGAAAAAAAGGCCTTGTAACTGACACTCGGAAACCTTGTATACTTGAAGAGTACTCTCCTTTTATTACTAAAATTGTTTGATAGAGGTGTCCTGATTCTCCACAGAAACCTACAGAAGTCTGGGCCAACCTCCTGTTTTTAACCTACCTATGGCTAGAGCATTTTTTTTAAGAAAGGCAGAATCCATGTATCTCTTTTGGGATTCAAAGGAAAGCGAAGAACCAGCCTCCCTTGCGTGTTAATTATTCACAGCTCCATTACCGCCAAGAGACAGGCAGCATGGGAGCCAACATCTGACAAATTGCTGCTAACTTTAAAAAAAGAGGGGGAGGATGGAAAAACAGATGCTTTCCTGAACTTCTGAAAAAAATCCTTGTGCTTTTTAATTCATCTTGGAGAACCATCCTGCCTAAAATAATATGTGCCTTGGAACAGAAGTGTCCTGCAGCAATTTAATTTGCATGTTGTACATAAAACTCTTCATGCTGTTACTATCTCATGGTCCTTTATTCACATTTCAACAGTCCCACTTCCAGCACTTGAACTCTCCTTTTAAACAGTGCCTCAGTTGCCCATTATGAAAGAGAGGGCGGCAGAAAAGCTTCTGAGTTTCCTCCCACTCTTGGATTGGCAATTAAACATGGGCCTCCTTTCATTTGGCTTTACTGACACCCATTTACCACTATTACACAAAACACTAAGCAGTTTAACACTTCAGTATGGAAGCTAACATATGACATAAGGACTAGATTGATGAGACTAACAAAAGAACTAGATTGTTTTACTTTGCTCAACATGGAGTTAACATTTTCACAAAGTTTTTAGATACAGGTAGATTTTGCACTTCATCGTACCACATTCAAGATGACCGATGGAAAACTTACCTGGATTTCATATAAATGAGCAATGTGAAACTGAACTGTGAAAGGAAGAAAAAGACACTTTAGTAATCCTCTTTTCAGTTCCATTTCTGTTATTAATCTACTAAATATGTACACAAAGAACACACAAACCTTATTAAACAGCTGGCTTTCCTTAATTGTTAATTGAAAATTATACAGAGGCAATGCCATTTGACCTATCTGGGCTGGTTGCAAAGCTTTAAACTTGCGGTCTTAAGTCTCTCACATAAGTGAAGTATAAGTGATTAGAGAGACTAAAGAAACATGGCCTCTGGTCTGAATCTACAATTAGATTTTTTTTCAAACATTTTATAAATTGTTCTTAAAGTTACAATCAACAATATTAACAAATACATTTACTTTACTTAAATCTGCTATTTTTTTAAGCAGAGTTCTATTTTTTGGACATAACACCAAATACAAAATCCATGTTTACTTTTTAAGTACTGTGTTTGGTTTGAAAAGCCAGTTCATAAACACTTGACTAGATTGGGTTCTGGCGTTTCCTTGGCAACCAGTCTCTCAGGCAAATGTTACAAAGCTATACAAGGAAACGACAAGCTCCTTCCAAATAAATCTCTCTGCATACATTTTTCGTGCTGTATCAAAAAAACTAGCACTTTTTTGAAAAATTATTTAGTGTCAAAAAGGTTTTATTGGTTCATTCCAGTCCGCCTATGGTAAAGTAATTGGTTTGATAGTTTTTTTTCCCATGGAACTTACTTTCAGCTTTGGACAAAGTGCAGGGATTTGAGTCAATCAAAGCCAGCTGAAAGTGCTGTAAAAAAGCAAAATATTCCACAATTACATGGGATTAAAAATGGTGACGCAATCGAGAATCAGCTTGATGGTACAGTCTGCTTTAAAAAAGTGAAACAACCTGTTAGCAACAACTCACATGAAAGCTGTCTACCCCCACAAAACACCCACTGGAAAATGAATAAATGAAAATTTGATTCAAGCATATTTCCTTCCTTCACAAAACAACAGCTTTCATATGAACCCAGCAATAAATAGGTATAAGAAAGTTTAACAGAAAATAAATTTAATATGCAAATATATTTGTTTAGGTTGAAGTGCATCATAATTAAGGTAAAGACATCAAGTATTCCGGTAAAGAAAACACATTGGGATAGCTCTTTTTCCAAGAGTGGCCGTTACAGAGTGCAAGATGTCAGAGAAGGAAATGAATCTAACTACATAGAGCCCTGAGAGAAGGCTCGTGGAAACATGGAACTGACACAGGCCATGATTTGAACTCAACAGGAGACTTAGACAAGTCTGTCTCCACCGGTGTTTTTTTGGAGAATGAAGATTAAAAGGTATTGGGTGACCAAGACGGTCGAAAAGCTTCGCCTATTTCCAAAATCTGATTTGTGATGGGTTCACAGCCAGTGTTTTCAAGAGGTCTTCAAGATGCTTCCAGGAAGCTACAGGAGATGAGCAACGCTGATTGTTTTCTTAGAGGTGAAAGAAGAGACAAGGAGCCTCCCTACTGATCTTGTGTTACAGTACAGGGTGACCACACAGTGCTGTGTCCCATTATAATATGGCTGGATTACACTGCCGCTTATGGAAGTGGAGGCATACTTCCTTCAGACTGACTTGATACAGCTCACTGGATATTTGGCCCGAAATATGCACCTACACATTTCGGCTATCCAAGACCATTTCATCTCGGCGCACCTCACAGAAACCACTCCATCAGGAATACAACAGAACCATCTAACATGATACCATAGCCTAAAGTATGTCGCAGAGCCTTACGTTTTTTTTGTTTTAAAGAAAAAGATGCTCAACCATGAAAAGACATTTGCTCCAAGTGAAAGGTGCTTATAAGTGGTGTAATGACCTTTAAAGGTAAGACAAAAGGTACTTAGCTCACATTATTCTAAATCAATTTAATATTGAAAAACAGAGATTTGTTGTGCTCCTCACAGGCACAGAAACTAAATGGAATTTTACTGTAGCTTAACACACACTGCTGCTGTGAATAAGACTAAGGCTTTGTTCCATGCAGGAAAAAGAAGAAAAGTCGAGGACATTCAGCTTGGTCTGACCTGCAGGTCTGGTCCTGGAGTGGAGTGAGGAAAGATGCTACTGTAAACCCAGGATAGCAATGTGAATTTAATTTTTTAAAGGTCATTTTTGTTTCAAAAAACAGAAAGGTGCACCTAGACCTGCAGTATGCCCCCTGGTCCTGCACGGAAAGACCGATAACATGACCACTCTTCCGAACCTTGTACGGTCATGTCAGACTTCTTTTTCACACTCCGAACCCCACCGCTCCTACAGCTCAGTAGAGGATAGATCCAGCGTTCACACATAAAGGGAGCCTCTGCAGAGTGCAGGCTAAAGGCAATGCATATCAGCAAGGCAGACTCTGCAGGGCGCTGTGGCGCGTTCAGCTCTATCTGGCTCGCTCTCCAAATGACTACAGTCGCTGGATACTAGCCAAGTCGTGACTTTGAGATCTTGACCTAAAAGGGGATCCCATCACTTCAGGAACCCTGCTGCTTCAGTGTCTAACCATCCTTGGTGAACTGTAAATAAACCACAAGTCGCAGCGTTCATAGCCCTCAGTTGAAACCTCAAGTATCTTCGCTAAGGTCAACAGGCCACATTTCCAATGAGTCTGTATGCAGGCCACTAGGGCCACGTCAGCACTATCTGCACTCAGCCAGCTGAAGATCCGCTGGTCTGCTCTCGGTCTGTACACAGGAGAAACCAGACAGAGGGCTAATAGACCAGCATACACGATTGTGCCCCGAGAACCTTTTTTGTACCCGACCATTTTTCCTTCTTGAAACGAGAAAATTGATTTTTCCCTGTATTATTTCATATCATGCATTAAGCACCCCATTAAAGATTTACAGTACTTTCCTATCATGCAATGTCACTGCAGTCTTCTATAACAGCCACTGCAACAGAGAGAAAATCCTTATACGCCCGTTATTTAACAAGGTCAAAGTTCTGATCATGATTTAAGCAAAATCCTACTGGAAGGCAATGATAAAGTTTTTCCTGATTTTCATAGCTCTATTCAAAAGCTCAATCATTGAACGGCAGAATGCACCCCCCCCCCCAATTTAAATGACTGTGTAACTGCAATAAATGTTTGTTCACAAAATCTGGAAATTAGATCTGTGTATAGTCAACCAGATCAACGCCAATAGGAAAAGATGGCTGCATGTATTATATTGCATAGCTGAAACAAAGATGTAAAAAAATGGTTCTCCATTTATAATGGTTTTACATGTACAATATTTGACTTTACAATAATAGCTATCCAAATGAAATTTCAATAATAGCCTCACGAAGAAAACAAAAACTGAACCCAGAAAACCCTGTCCCAACCTCTCAGTCTACCATTCTGCCTTCGATCACCTGGTGTTCAACATCAAGCTGTAGACACCTGTTCTCAAAAAAGCTGACTTTTTCCTCCAGGAAAAAGCAACAGCAGCAGTAGGTTCATTTCATAAATTCAGCTGAGGTGATAATGAACTAAGTCAAATAAGAATTCACAAGCAATGTCACAAATTGAAATAGGAAACCGTTAAAAAATGTTCAGCTCACAATCTTCTACTGCATAATCTCATTACAACCACAACCTGAAATAATCTCTAATGCAGCTATAATTAGAAGAAAACTCTACACTGAAGGAGGTCAGCCATTCATCTTAGCAGAAAATGCACCTTTTTAAATTAGCACATTTAAAGGGCAAGACAACCTAAAATCGATGCATATCCAGATCAGTGCTCAGATGAAAACAAAAATGAGAAACTGCAGAACAGTGTCAGCCACAGGACTGAATCTCTCCATATCAAACCTTTTACTGCAGTGAAATTTCACAGCTACAAAGGTGTGAGGTTAGTTTAATAGGCCACCTCAAAAAAATAAGCAAGATATCACATTACCAGATGTAAATAGGTTTCCCCGTACAACACTGCATCCTACATCAGCTTGATTATCGCCCGTCTGCTAGTCAGATATTGCAGGAGGATTTTCGGCTTCTGCTTTTCAGCGATTGCTAATCAGGAGACTGCTGCAGTTCACAGATGACATACAATACCTGCAGGCAGACAGTCTATTTAACACGGACTCCATTCCTGCATGAGAGCAGTTCCTAGCACTTCTACTGCATGAAAATGAGAGAGGGAGAAAGAGAGAGAGAGCTCAAGCACGAAAAATCAAGCAATACCAGTCTCACATGAAAAACAGCACCACCACCTTACAGAATTTCAATTGTGCTGCACTATTACACAGGAGGACAACAAACTCCGCTCTTGAGAGACATCCTCTCCGACTTAAATCTCTGGTTTGAAGAACTCGGCCATCTCGCTTTGTAGATGGTTACCCTCTGGCCGAATGGGAAACATGAGCAGAAGAAATAAAACGACAGCTTCTCGGATATGCGCTGACAGTTGAAGACTGGAGATTATAAGAAACATTTTCCACCACAGAAGAAAACTAGACATTCCGAGATCTCTCTGTTACCTGCTGTAAAACATTCAACTACTTTACTACCATGCACACGGTCTGCACCCAGCCAGACTGCTCTGTGTACATCAATCCACCTGACACCTTCACCTTTCATTTTCTCCCCCTCCGGTACAAAAACTTACCAGAAGGCGAGCACGAGGCTTGACTCCAAGACACAAAAATAAATGGGGCCCATTTTATTTAGGAGAAAAGAAAAAACTAAAACCAAGCCTGGCTCCTGCATACTTTCCCGAGCGGTACGGTGTGCGCCTGTTTCTCAGAACTGTCTTTGTTCAGATAACTAGGACACGGAAAGCCATGCGCAATCAAAGAGCTGGCAGGCAGCCAGCGCTCCATTCGCCGGGCTTGTTACAGGGGGCAGGAGGAGGACGTGCTGCACGTGCAGCTGGATCAACTGATTACCACGCTCCCCAGGGTCCTCCTGCGCAGCACAGCACGGATCTCCTCCTCCTCTGGAGGAACAGGGCTGCGCTTCGGACCCAGTCCCAGTGCAGGCAGCTTCTGGGACACTTCCACAGCAGGAAGCACCAGGCCGGGCTGATGCAGACCACACTACTGGACAGCTCGTACGAGTTCAGACTTATGTCGGCGATTGCCGAATGCAACGGAAAAATATCTGCACACTGCATAAAACACAGCGGTAGTGCAGCTCCCCTGGTTGCTGCCCTTCCGATCGACATGAGCTGCTTTATCTTTCAGGAGCAGGGGGGACAGGGAGAGGAGTCTGAGTGAGCTGGAGATGATGCAATAGGAACAGGTGTCTTTAAGACACTGCTGCAGACAGTCACATATAGCCAGGCGTGGATGATGCCGGTGTCAGACTCCTGAAGTCACATTCCTCCTGACCCCAGTCGCCTACAGCACCTTGGCTCTTCCTCCTCCTGGTGAACAAGTCAGCTTCCATATCACCCTGCAGCTCACAACTGGCAGCCTACTGAAGCTCAGCAGGTGTGAGCCTGGCCTGTACCTGGATGGGAAACCTTCTGGGAAAAACTAAGGTTGCTGCTAGAAGAGGTGTTAGTGGGGCCAGTAGTGAGAGCTCACTGTGCGAGTCCTAATGCCCCGGTATAGTGACGGGGACACTATACTGTAAAAGGGTGCCGTCCTTCGGATGGGATGTTAAATCGAGGTCCTGAATCTTTGTGATCATTAAAAATCCCAGGGCATTTCTTGCAAAGAGTCGAGGTGTTATCCCAGCATCCTGGTCAAGTTTCCCATTGGCCTTTACCGCCTTTACCAATCATGGTCTACTAATAATCCCCATCTTTGAACTGG